GAAAAAAAGGGTATTTTGGGGTTATCCGCATGAAATCCCACAGGAAACGCTTCCCCCTTCGCTCCATCCACCGGGAACCGAAACCGTCCCCAACACCGTGTTCTGCTCCCGACCCGGCACCGCTTCCCCCCTTCCCAGGGTTTTCCAGCTCTCTTTGTGTTCATGGCAGGGGAAATCTCGGTTCAGCCTCTCCCGGCGGCCGAGAGAGGGAGCGCGCGGCATTCCCACCTCCGGGAATGCGGCGGCTGCCTCGCAGCACGGAGCTATTGGATCATCAGTTAATTAAAGGGATGCAAGACACCCCCTTTGGCCCCTTCTCGCTAAGCCCCGTCCGACCTGGCCCCTTTAGGCACTGGAGCTGCTCTAAGGTCTCCCCTTCAGGAGCCTTCTCTTCTCCAGGCTGCCCCAGCCCAGCTCTCTCAGCCTGGCTCCAGAGCAGAGCTGCTCCAGCCCTCGCTGCATCTCCATGGCCTCCTCTGCACTCGCTCCAACAGCTCCACGTCCCTCTTGTGCTGCTGCCCCAGAGCTGGATGCAGGATGAGGAACACCTCTCTTCCAGGCGGTTTTCCAGGTGTCCCATCATTATCCAGGTCCCGCAGCACTGGGGATGGTGCCTCCAGGGTGGTTCAAAACCAGCTTGGGTGGGAGATGCTCCAGTGTGCACGGGTGAGACAACAGGGTGCCCAGAGAAGCTGTGGCTGCCCCATCCCTGGCAGTGTTCAAGGCCAGGTTGGACACAGGGGCTTGGAGCAAGCTGCTCCAGTGGAAGGGGTCCCTGCCCGTGGCAGGGGTTGGAACTGGAGGAGCTTTAAGGTCCCTCCCAGCACAAACCAGTCTGGGATTCAATGACATCCAAGTGCTCCTCAAGACCACTGATGCCCTGGGCTCCATTCATTCCATGGGTTCACATCTCCTTCTCTCCATGACAGCTCCAAGCAGATGCTTCAGCTTGGATGGGTTCACCATCCCACAGCTCCTGGTCAATGGTTTTGCTGCCTTCTTGGTTGAGCTGGTTCGGTTCCTCGGTGAATCCGTGGTCCAGGTGAGCACTTGGTCCCTCCAGCCTCCAATGGAGGCTCCGCCATCCCATTGAGTCTCTGTTAAGTTCTATCCATCAATCCCCTTTGCCTTGATGATCTGTGGCTTGTTGAAGCTCACGCTCACCATGGAGACATTTATGGGCTTGTTCTCCAAAGAAACCCAAAGCCCCAAGGCCAGAAACACAGAATGGTTGATGGTGGAATCATGGAACCATGGAATGGTTTGGATGGAAGGCACCTTAAAGCTCCTCCAGCTCCAACCCTTGCCATGGGCAGGGACCCCTTCCACTGGAGCAGCTTGCTCCAAGCCCCTGTATCCCTGGCCTGGAGCAGGTTGGGTGCAATGGGAACTGTGTTTGGTGACGTCCCAAAACCAGGAACCATCCCACCATTCATATGCCCACTCTGGGGTGGCTCAGTGACCACCCCAAGTACAAACCTTCTCCTTCCTTTCTAGTGGGTATTCCCACATCAAAACACACCAGTTTTGGGAGGAGAAGCTTCATGTTCTTCACCTACCTCCATCTTCTCCCATAGTGCGATTCTTGCCTCTTGGGCTCAGTTTTGGTGTCTCAGATGAGCGGGGAGTTCCTCACCATTAACTTGCTCCTCACGGTGTCCCCACCACCCCTCAGGCCACCAAAAGCCACCAAATCCCCCCCAAACCCCAGTGTTTCAACCCAAACCCCCCTCTCTGCAGGTGCTGCTGGTCGGGCTGGTGACAGCCATCGGTGACCACGTCCTGAAGCCCCTCCTGGTGGCCACATTCAGCAGCCTCCTGCAGCCCCTGCTGCTGTTCCTGCTCCGGCTCCTCCGCGGCCTCCGGGACCTGGGGGATCCCCTCATGGACATCCTGGCCCGGGCCTGCTCCCAGGTCGCTGTCCTGCTCCGTGCCGTCAGGCTGGTGGAGATCAACCTAAGGGTGGAGAGAAGGATGGATCCTGGGGACATCGCAAGTGGTTGAGGGCGTTGTGGGTGGTGAATGAAGGAGAAGAGGAAGGGGAGCATCATGGAATGGTTTGGGTTGGAAGGGACCTTAAAGCTCCTCCAGTTCCAAACCAGTGCCACAGGCAGGGACCCCTTCCACTGGAGCAGCTTGCTCCAAGCCCCTGTGTCCAACCTGGCCTTGAGCACTGCCAGGGATGGGGCAGCCACAGCTTCTCTGGGCACCCTGTGCCAGCGCCTCAGCACCCTCACAGGGAAGAGCTTCTGCCTTATCTCCAACCTGAACTTCCCCTGTTTCAGTGTGAACCCATCACCCCTTGTCCTATCACTCCAGTCCCTGATGAAGAGCCCCTCTCCAGCATCCTTGGAGCCCCCTTCAGACACTGGAAGCTGCTCTGAGGTCTCCATGCAGCTTCTCTTCTCCCAGCTCAACAGCCCCAGTGTTCTCAGCCTGTCTCCATAGAGGAGGTGCTCCAGCCGCTGAGCATCCTCATGGCCTCCTCTGGACCTGCTCCAACAGCTCCATGTCCTTCTGATGCTGAGGACACCAGAACTGCACCCAGTGCTGATGACAAGGACAATGAGGAGGTCCATGAGAACCTCAGCACCTCGTGTTCCTGTGCAGTAGTTACATGGCCACCGGTGGGATTGGCTTTGTTCTCCTCATGCAAACACCTCCTTCCCCACCCCATTAAGTGAGGATTTGATCTCCCAGGCCATGTCTCCAGCGAGGTGATGTTCCTCTTCCTGCCTGGAACATGCAGCTTTCCAATGGGAATGACATCCCTTTTGTCCTTCCCCTCATTCAGGCTCCTCCGGTGGGTCTCAATGCTGACTCTGGAGGCGATTCAGTGTCCTGATCGTGCTTTCCTCACCCCATTCCAGGAGGGAATGTCCAGTCAGCTCCCAGTGACCCTCAGTTCGGGCTATGCCTTATCTGGAGCAGCTCTGCCCCAGTGCCATGAGACAGGCAGGAATCTGTGCCCCACTTGAGCAGATGGACACCAGCACTTCCACAGTGCTAACCCCAGCTCCGGGGTGCGTGTGGGGCAGCGGGACCGTGTTCCCAAGGAGCGGAATCACACAGGGTGAAGCTCTGAGCGTGGTTCCCCCTCGGAGGGCAGGGATGGAGCCGGTGCCAGGTCCCTTTTCCCAGCACCCATCCTTCGGGAGCATTCCCCACCGCTTGCGTGCGCGGCTCCGTGCTTCCAAGCCCAAAGCCCTTTCCTTTTTATGGGCAGGAGCTGCTCGTGTTTAACTCCCGGCGCTGAATCCATCCAAAGGCCGCATCCCGGCGCTGATTGAAGGGATGAGCTCAGTCAGGAAGCACCAAAAGGGGGTCCCCATGTGGCAGGCACCAGCACCCGACCCCCCCTGTGCCATTGGGGTGCTGCTGTGCTCCCTTTGGAGGGATAACGTGGAAGCACCCCTCAAAGAGCTCCATAAGGGCGCTGTGTGCTTGAGAGGCTGAAACGATGCAGAAATATCCCGGTTTTCCAGGAGAGGGAGACGGGATCGGCTTTGCTTCGGCTCCTCAGCACCAGAGGTGGAGGGAGGGATGCATGGATTGAATCCAGGGTATCCTGCAGCATTGGGATGGCCCCTCGGGCTGGCCTCAGGGGATTCCCATCCCTTGCATCGGGATGTGGGCACATGCCGGTGGCTGCTCCATGGCAATATCCATAAGGAATAGATTAAAACAAGCAAACAGCACGGTTAAGGGCTGGGATATACTGGAGGATTTAGCTGGAGATTCACTGGAATGATTTAAATGGCTTTAATTCAATCAATCTGCTCCGGAAACAGGAATTCCCTGTTTTCCTCTATTGGTTTTGGCTTAAGATCCCTGATTCAGCAGAGAGCCAGGGGATGGGAAAATCCAACACCCCGGAGCACGGGAAGGCAGCTTCATCCAACAGCATCGGGAAGAGGACGCGTCCCAGCGGAGGGGACAAGGTCAAGAGCACAAAACCCCTTTATTCCTTAAGAAACACTCAGGAAAACCAATCCTAATCCAAGTTTCAGGCATTTCGCACTCATTCCGTGCTTCCCTCCGCTGTGCCTGCGGCAAGCTGTTTGGGATGGGGGGTTCAGCACCCCTTCATTCCCAATGGGAGCAGGGATGAGCTGGAAGCATCATTCCCACCCTCATCCCCTGCCCGGAGCCCCACTCCTGGTGCATGGACAAGGACATTTCTCCCTGTGGAAGCGGCGCTCCGGGGGCTCCAGCAGCGCGTTGGCAGCTCCCTCGCATTGCTGCTCCCTGAGATCACCGGCTCCGAATGCCTTCCCGACGGATCATCCCAGCGCCGGGGCCTCGCTCCTCACCCTTCCCTATGGATGTGAGTGCCTGTGGGGTGAGGGCAATGCTCTGCCCGCTCCCCTCCATCCCGCATCCGTGCGGGTTTGGGCCCGGGGTGGGAATGCAGCCAGGCGGGACATGGAGGAATGCCAGGGCGCTGTGCAAAGGGCCTCCTTCTGCTCCGCTTCCCTAAATAGCCGTCGGGATTAGCTGGGGCATTCCTATGCCCCCGGGCGCTGACCCCGGGATGTGCTGCTCATGGCTATATTAAAGCCTGCACTCATCCCGGCGCCCCGCAGTGGGGTTTTGGCTCTTCTGATACCCCCAAGCTCTGGAGCACAGCAGGGAATGGGTTCGAGCTGAAAGAGGGGAGGTTGAGATGGGAAACCAGAGGGGAGTTATCCCTGTGAGGGTGCTGGGACACTGGGATCGGTGATGGAGGAGCTGCCCCATCCCTGGCAGTGTTCAAGGCCAGGTTGGACACAGGGGCTTGGAGCAAGCTGCTCCAATGGAAGGGGTCCCTGCCCGTGCAAGGGGTTGGATCTGGATGAGCTTTAACATCCCATCATCCCATGCCGTGATCCCATGGGCTGTTGTGCGCCCGTTCCCAAGCTTGCGCTTGTCCCCTCTCAGCACCTCCTGGCACGGCTCCTGCAGGGTATTTATAACCCCCCCCAGTGCCAGCACGGTGACGGGGCCGATCCCAGCAGGGATTTATCCACGTGGATCCCGGGAGGAGCCAAGGGCCTGGCGCTGGGTTCAGGCTTTGTCACACAGGCGTCATGGGAACAAGCCACAGCTCCTCTGGGCACCCTGTGCCAGCGCCTCAGCACCCTCACAGGGAAGAGCTTCTGCCTAAGAGCTCATCTCAGTCTCCCCTCGGGCAGGTTCAAGCCATTCCCCTTGGCCTGTCCCTACAGGCCCTTGTCCCAAGCCCCTCTCCAGCTTTCCTGCAGCCCCTTTAGGCACTGGAGCTGCTCTAAGGTCTCCCCTTCAGGAGCCTTATTCCCAAATAAACCAGGGATGAGCCACTGGATTGCATGTGGGCAGCCTTCATGTGTTGGTTTCTTGTTGGGGCGAACTGAGGCAGTTTAATCCCAGTGATGGGAATGCAACCGCATGGACAAGTACAACCAAGGGATGCTTGAGGTGGTGGCACCCCCTTTGCTCACTGTGTTCTTTGGGATTGAGGTGCTTTAGGGGCAGCGTTTGCTCCATAGACCTTGGGAATGAATCAGGTTTGACTTTAGGGGCTGGGGGGTGAGGGGCTCAGCGCTCTGGGGCAGCAGCACAAGAGGGACGTGGAGCTGTTGGAGCGAGTGCAGAGGAGGCCATGGAGATGCTGCGAGGGCTGGAGCAGCTCTGCTCTGGAGCCAGGCTGAGAGAGCTGGGCTGGGGCAGCCCGCAGGAGGCTCCTGGTCCCTCTCCATCACGGGGTCACGGTGATGGATACGCCAATGGGATGATGGAATTCCCTCTGCTTTGCCCAGGCACCAAGGTCAATGCATCCAAACCCTCTGCTGCCCGGAGCAGAGGTGAACACGGTGAGAAATGAAAAGCCAGTTAATCAGTAACATGTGCTCTTGATTCCATGGTCCTGGAAGAGATGCGTGATCAGTCCTTGGAAAACCAGGATTCTTATACAGAATGGATCATGGGATGGTTTGTGTTGGAAGGGACCTTAAAGCTCCTCCGGTCCCAACCCCTGCCATGGGCAGGGACACCTTCCATTGGAGCAGCTTGCTCCAAGCCCCTGTGTCCAACCTGGCCTTGAACACTGCCAGGGATGGGGCAGCTGGAGTCCATCATCCCATTCCCGTGTCCCAGCACCCTCACAGGGATAACTCCTCCCTATATCCAACGTAAACCAGTTTTAACCCATTATCTCCTGATCCCATACCCGCCCCACCGCACACCATTAACCCCCAGTGGGACACGGATGTATCCTTACACACCCCATTATCTCCTTGACATCTTCCGACACCCAGAGGTACCAAAGTAGGACGAAGCGTTGAGTGCTTTAAGGAACATCCACAGCAGCCCTTTGAGCCCATGACCTAATGGTTGGGATGGGATTTAACGTGTCAGCTTGATCCTGGTGGGAATTATCTCAGCGTCCTGCACTATCTGGTGTGAGGATCTGCCAGGGATGGTGCGGATCAGCTCCCTCCGGAGAAACGAGCTCTTCTGGGATCATTCCTCTGCCCTAATTTAGGCATTTGCTGCGGGGTGAGATGAATCATGCCCTGGAAAGCGCCTATTTCTTCCCAGTGACTCCAAGAGGAGCCAGTGCTGATGCGGACACGCGCGTCTCATCGCCTGAACCGCATCCAACGGGATTAAGGCTTGACCTCATCCACGCTGATATTTGGACTGGGAGCCGGGATGTGTCATGGAGTGAAACGGTGATGTGATGCTGCTTAGGGGATGTGCTAGACTGAGACATTCCCTCCTGATGGGGTCACGCAGCAGTGATGGGGCCGTGGCTCCCGGCTCCCGGCATTGGATCCCTGCGCACTCTCACGAGCTATTTTTGGGCTCGGTGCAGTCACCACACGCTTGTGATGGGCTCCGTGCCATGGACCCGCGCTCTGGGAATGACATGGAGCGGCGCCAGGGAACGGGCTGAAGGCACACACAAAGCATCAGGGAATGGCTGGGGTTGGAAGGGACACCTTCCACTAGAGCAGGTTGCTCCGAGCCCCGTCCAGCCTGGCCTTGAACACTGCCAGGGATGGGACAGCACAGACCCACATTGAACAGGGTTTTAGGGCAGGTACACAGTTAAACTGACCCTGAATTCCAGGGGTTTTCCCAACTAAAATGAAGGAAAGTGCTGGGGTTGAGTTTGTGTTGGGTTCCATCAGGGAAGGGCTTTGGAATGGGGATAGGGAGGGACATGGGAGAGGCGGGAGGATGAAGGAGGTAGTAGGTTCCATGGGTCTGGAGGCTTCTCTGCGCAGGGAATGGGATACAAAGGAGAGCATCCCCATTCCCTAGAGATCCCAAGAGGCAGCCCAGAGTCTATTGCTATGGCACATGGGACACATACATGCTAGAGACAGAACAGACACAAAGCAGCGTTAGGTGACTCTATACACAGGATGGGAGAAAACCGCCTCAACCTGCACCAGGGGAGATTTAGACTGGAGATGATGGAACGTTTCTTCATGGAATGGGATGGGAAGCACTGGGACAGGCTGTGCTGGGGTCACCACCATCCAGGGGTCCATAGGGCAGGGATGCGGTGCTTATGGCCATGGTGTGGTGATGGGCTGGCCAACGTTAACGGCTGGACTCAACAGTCTCCACCGCCGTCCGCCCCGCACAACGTGGCGCCTCGCCCCCTTTCCCGCCACTGCAACCCGCGCCCCCCGCGCCAACTTTCCCGCGGCGCATGCGCGGTGAGGAGCGCGCCCGAGCTGTGGGCGTGGCCGCCTGCCGGCGCGCGAGTGAGGACGTGGCGCTTTCCAGCCAATCAACGTCCGCGTCTCCCTCCGGGAGGGGCGGGGCTACGGCGCAGGGAGGGGTGGCAGTGAACCGGAGCGAAGGGGCGGGGGGGAGAGAGGAGTGTGGGCGGGCGGAAGGGAGGATGGACAGCTGAGTCCACCAATGAGAACGCCGATCGTAGCCGCGGGAGAGGCGGAGCGACGCTCTGATTGGTCAGCGCGCGGAGTCGGGGGGTTCCGTGCGGCGTGGCGCGGCGCCTGCTTCCGGTCGGCGGTGAGCGGCTGAGGCAGAGCGGGCGGCGGCGGCTCCGGTCACGGTGAGGGCTGGGCCGGGGCGGGTGGGAAGGACGCGGCCCTCGGGGGCAGGTAGCGGCTGGGACCGCTGTGTGCGAGCGGTGCCTCGGGACCGGCCGCGCTGGGCCTCGGAGCGCCGCCGGGGCTCGTCGCTATGGGAACCAGGGGGGGCATCGCTGTGGGACCCCCCCCACCCCATTTCCAGTGTTGTTCCCATAGGGATCGGAGTGGAGCAACCGGTTGCTCCCGCTCGCGGATCCCTGCAGCATCCCCGGGGGAGCGAGGGGGTCCGGCCTCATCTTGCACCCTCGGCCCAGGTGCCTGATCCCGGTGTCCCCATCCAGCACCGGGATAACGGGCTGCAGAGGGGGCCTGACCCCCGCAGTCCATCACCCTCAGGGACCAACCGGTTCCTCTGCGAGCGGTTGTTTTGGGGTGCAAACGGGGTTTTCCCCGTTCCCTGTTATCTTTTAGCGCCTGATAAGCCCCGTGGGTGGAGATAAGGCCTCAGTCGGTGCCGCTGGTGATAGCTTATCAACGGGACTTCCGAAGGAGCTGTGACCGGTGCAGGGCTCTGGGGACCCCCCCGTGCTCCCCATTGTGTCCCCCTGGCCATTCAGTGCTGTGGCTGGTTGCAATAGGGCTGTGCAGAGGTGACCTGGGTTTACCTGGCAGCCGGGATCCTTTCCAAGCCAAAAGAGGGGATAATTCCCCCATTCCAGGCAGTTTGCTGTGGTCCAGGTTTACCTGACAGCCCAAACCCTTTCCAAGCCAAAGCAGGGGGTTGGGATTCCCCAGTTCAGCCCGTTATCTGGTGCTCCAGGTTCACCTGACAGCCTGAACCTCTTCCAAGCCAAACTAGAGGCTCATTCCCAAATTTCAGCCAATTCTCTCTGTAGGGCTTTATTCCATGAAGTTAGCTGAGCTTCCAGGTTTGGATCCAGGCTTCCAAAGGGATTTCCACCTGTGAATCCACTTGCAATACCACATCAACCCCAAGCCCAGCATGGAATCCCATTTTCTCCAGCAGCATCGCAGCCAAACCAGCCCCAGTTCCTCAGGAGACCCTGCTCCAAGGGAACACTTCCCACTGCTGATTGCTGCTTCCCACTTCCCTGTGGTTTAATGCCAAGACCCTTTTATCTGGGAACAGGGAGAAGCGTTGCCACCTTATCCTTGGTATCCACCTCAATACCTCATTTCTTCAGAGCTCCAAGGGAAATTTGGGACTTTAGGACTCGATCCCATTGGTGGAGCAGCACAACTGTGAATTGCTGATGCTTAGGGCTCATATGGGGGGGTTTCATCATTCCAAGCACTAAACCTGCATCTTCCACCTGCAGAGATAAGGCGCCTGGTACCAGGCCAGGATGTGGCTCTGAGGTCAGCTTGCCCCTTTCAGCCTGCTCCCTGTGGACAATGGAGATAGAAACCATGCTGGCTCCAGTATTCCAGCTCAGCCCATGCTCCAGGCCAGGCTGCTCTTGGGATGAGCAGGTTTCAGCACTGGGATGTGCTCAGAGTGAGCCAGAGCCTGAGCTGTGTGTAAATACAGACCCTGGTGGCGTTCCCGAGGTCATGGCCACGCTGGATTGCATCAGAGGTGGATGGGAATTGTGGGTTTTCCATGTGGATTGGGCTTGGATTGCAAAGAGGGTTGTTCCTCATCCCCTTTCCTTTGCAGTCCTACAAGCCCCTGTGTCCAACCTGGCCTTGGACACTGCCAGGGATGGGGCAGCCACAGCTTCTCTGTGTCCCACCACCCTCATAGTGAAGATCTTCTCCCTGCTGTCCCGTTTAAACCCATTCACTGTGCCCTATCCCTACATCCAATGTCATAATTCCCCCTTTGGTGTCTCCCTGCTTGGCTCCACATATCCTCTCAGCTCTCCATCCTAATCCCATCCCTCTCCCCTCAGCATCCCCACACTGCTGGATGCTGTCGTGGCAGTGGGATTCCTCTTGCTTTTGGGTTCTCCTCCTGGTTTCCAGCTTTCCCAACAGGAAACCTGGCAATGCTCCGGCCTCCCCAGCGTTTGGCTTCTCTCCTTCACTGCCTCAGCCTGTGCAGATAAATACATCTGGATGAATCCCTGGGGATTCAATGGACTCCTCCGCCTCATCCCAAGCACAGAGTAATGGGAATGACTTAAATAAAAGGAATTCCTTTGCCCTCACACCGAGAGGAACCCCTCGAGGCAGGAAACTCCTTTTATTCCATTAGGAACACTTTTCCCCCCTCTCCTGCTTCTCCTTTCTGACCTCTGTGAGTGATTTGAGCTGCTTGGACACTGAAACTTCTCATTTCCACAGGGGAAAATGTCATTTTAGGCAGTTTTGGGGCAGGATCACACCAATAGAATTGTATGTGGAGAATGAGGTGGGATGGGGCACTTCAGAGGGGTTCTGTGGGCACCGGGATGCTCTGAGACCAGGCACCAGTCATCTGGATTAATTCATCCTTTTCCCCATATAACTGGATTAATCTTATTGTTCTGAGCATATAACATGGATTAACTCATCACTTTGCCTGGATACCCTGGATTCATTCATCACTATGTCCACATAACTGCATCAATTCACTATTCTTCCCAGTTAACCTGTGTTAATTCACACTTTGCCCACATAACATTAATGAATGCATCACTTTGGCTGGATAACCTGGATTAATTCAGTGTTTTCCATACATAATCTGTGTTAGCTCATCACTTTCCCTGGATAATCTGTCCTGATGTATCACTCTACCTGGATAATCCCTATTAATTCATCACTTTGTCCCCATAACCTGATTTAAATAAGCATTTTGCCCAGATATCCTATATTAAATCATCCTTTCCCCATACAATCTGTATATAAATTTGCCTGGCAAATCAGTAGGAATTTTGCCCACATGCCCTGGATTAATCCATCATTCTGCCTGGCTAACCTGGATTCATCATTTTCCTGGGATAATCAATATTAGTGAATCATTGTGCTCCCATAATCTGGATCTAGTCATCATTTTTCCATAGATAATTCCTCATTCTGCCTGCATAAACTGGACTGATCCATCACTTTGCCTGGATAACCTGGATTAATCATTTTGCCCAGAGAATCTCCATTAATCCATCATTTTTCCCTGATAATCTGCACTGATTTATCACTTTGTCAGGATAATCCACATTAATTAATGATTTTACCTGGATAATCCATATTAATCCATCACTATGCCCACATAACCTGGATTAACTCATTTTACTGAGATAATTATGGACTAATTCCTATTTTTTCCCTTTTAACCTTGGTGAAGTCATCATTTTCCCACATCACCTGGATTAATCCATCATTCTGCAGATAACCTGGATTAATCCATCATTTTCATGGCATATCCCACAGTAACACCTCACTTTGCATGGAAAACCTGGATGAACTCTACTTTTCCCCCTCATCTCTGCCCATTCTGATGCCAGGATCCCCTCCTTTATCCTCCCTTAGTGACCTCCTGGATGTCCCCTGTCCCGCAGGTGCCTCGGAGCCACCATGAGCATCCCTCAGCTCCTGCTGTGCCTGTCTCTCTTCATGCTCTGCATCTCCTCCAAGCCCACGGAGAAGAAGGACCGAGTCCACCACGAGCCCCAGCTCAGTGACAAGGTCCACGATGATGCCCAGAGCTTCGACTACGACCACGACGCCTTCCTGGGTGCTGATGAGGCCAAGACCTTCGACCAGCTCACGCCAGAGGAGAGCAAGGAGAGGCTGGGGTAAGGAACCGATCCAGCATGGATCACCTGGGCCTTCACCTCTGTCTTTTGCACCTTGAGCTGTCTCAGGTAGACCCATGAAAGCATCGTTTTATCACGCGTGGTGGTGAGATGTTGGGCTTGGCCTTCAAGGTCAGTTTGAGTCATCCCAACCATCCCCACTTGCTCCTAACCCCCCAACCCTTAGGAATTCCACGTCTCCCACTTTGCCGTCCTCCAAATGACCTCACAGGGCTCCAGTTACCACTGGAAGGCCCGTGGGATTCCTGTGTGTTGTTATTCCCATTTGGGAAGCAGCTGGAGAGCCACAAGTGAGGGAAAACAGGCAATCCCTTGAACACTGACTTCTCCTCCAGTGTTTTCCCCCCCTTTCCCACCTGCAGCCATCAGCAGCGAGGGTTATTGGAGACTCCCAGCTCCAGCCCTGGCAAATCCCTGGATCCACAGCACTACAACCTCCTCCTTTGTGCTCCCGACAGCAGCTGCTCTCCCAGTTGTTCCCAGTGGGCTTAGGAAAGCTTAAACCTTTGGAAAAGGCTTGGCTTTGTGGTGTCAGGCTGAAGGTCTGGATCTGTCACCATCCAGACTGCCCATTAACCCTCCAGCTTTGCCTGGTTTCCCTCTGTTTTCCCTGGTTTTTCCCATGGTTTGGCTTGGAAGTGGCCTTAAAGCTCATCTAATTCCAACCCAAATCTGAGCGTTCCCATGGGCTTTTAACACCCATATGGACCATCCAGGCTGCCAGCCCATGATAAAGGTGAGGCAAAGCCAATGCCGCCTCCTATAAAAGAGGCTTTTCCAGAGGCTGGGATGTGAATTCCCCCACCCCCCCCATGGAAAACCCCTTTGGATCCATCCATATCAGCCACAAAAATTGACAATCCAGGTGGTTTTTAACAAGGAAAACAGCTTGGCAAGAAGCTCTTCCTCCCCCTAAAGCCAGAGCGGATGCAAAAGGGCACCAGGGATATAGGGATACACTGGGAATTCCCCCCTGCCCCTGAGGCTGTGTTCAGGGCTCCACGCTCTGTAATCCCATTGTTCTGCTGAGTTATCTCCTGGAACAAGCTGGGAGTTGGGAGCGGGGCTGCCTCAGACTTTCCACTTGGAATGTTCTGATGGCGCCGTGGCTTTAAGGCTGTGGGAAGGGCCTGCTTTTCCAGGCTCCTTTCACTGGGGCTCTTTTCCCTGTTTCTTGAGCTCATTGGGGTTTCAGAACAGCGTTCCCGTGCTTGGTTGTTCCTTAAAAGCTTCGGGATCAAGGCAATGCTCTGAGTTTCCCAGTGCTAACGCAGAGCACACGGATCCTCTTCCTTCCTTCCTTCCAGCTGCCTGCCCCGCAGAGCAGCTGCTGCCGCCCCCTCCCTCCGTGACCAAAGTGCCAGAATATGGGATTATTTTGCCTCAAAACTCATGGATTTGGTGCCTCCTGCCCTGGGAAACCGGCCTGGGAACGCTGGGCTTGGGCACGGAGCCGCTAGACCAGCTCGAAGGCTGGTTCTGCTCCAGTGTGTCTTTGTCCCAGTGCCCAGCACCCTTTGTGTTGCAGCTGGGGGCCGTGCTCCCATCATTCCTGGCCAGAATTCCCACTGAAAGTGGGTTTATTTGGTATAACCCTGTCCCAACCTCCTGGTGCAGCCTCTGCTCTGTCACCTCCTGCTGCTGCCACCATGGCTTTGCTATCACAGAAACCACAATGGCTCTGATTTAACGCTGAGAAGCAGCTGGGGGAAATTCCCCAGGGATTCCAGTCCTCGGAGCCCATTGTGGGATAATCCAGGGAAGGATGATGCCCACCAGCCAGGAATAATGTGTATTAAAGTGCTTCTGGCATCCAAAACACGGTGCACGGTCATCAAACTGGTTAAATTGAGTGTAAAGACACTTCTCTAAGCAGCACAAACATCTTTAATGGTTTTATCCCAGTTATCCACCTTTTGGGAATGCCCTTTGGGCCACCTGTGGGCTTTGCTTTGTGGGATAAGGACGCTTCGGAGCTCTCATCCCTGGGCTTCAGCATCCAGCACTGTGATGTCTTGTGCCAGCCCCGCACCCTACAGACCCCACGGCTGCTCCTAGGAGTAAACCATGAGGAATGGTGAGGCTGAAGCAGCCCCTCTCCCCCCTCCTGGCCCGTGTGCATCTGCCTATGGATTCACATTCCTCCCTCACAGCTGCTGCTATAAATAACAGCGGCCCCGTGCCAGCAGCTCCGGTTTCTGCCTCGGGATAAACGGGTGGGATTGGACCTGGATGTGTCCCACCAGTGCCCCGGGAGGGTGTGCTCAGCCCCAGAGACAGCCTTTGTGTTCCTTCCCAGTTTAGACTCACAGACTGGTTTGGGTTGGAAGGGACCTTAAAGCTCCTCCAGCTCCAACCCCTGCCACGGGCAGGGACCCCTTCCACTGGAGCAGCTTGCTCCAAGCCCCTGTGTCCAACCTGGCCTTGAGCACTGCCAGGGATGGGGCAGCCACAGCTTCTCTGGGCACCCTGTGCCAGCGCCTCAGCACCCTCACAGGGAAGAGCTTCTGCCTAAGAGCTCATCTCAGTCTCCCCTCGGGCAGGTTCAAGCCATTCCCCTTGGCCTGTCCCTACAGGCCCTTGTCCCAAGCCCCTCTCCAGCTTTCCTGCAGCCCCTTTAGGCACTGGAGCTGCTCTAAGGTCTCCCCTTCAGGAGCCTTCTCTTCTCCAGGCTGCCCCAGCCCAGCTCTCTCAGCCTGGCTCCAGAGCAGAGCTGCTCCAGCCCTCGCAGCATCTCCATGGCCTCCTCTGCACTCGCTCCAACAGCTCCACGTCCCTCTTGTGCTGCTGCCCCAGAGCTGGATCAGGACTGCAGGGGGGGTCTCCCCAGAGCACAGCAGAGGAGCAGGATCCCCTCCCTGAGCTGCTGCTCGTGCCCCGGGCGTGCAGCACACGATGGGTTCTGTTGAGCTTCTCATGCACTAACACCCCCAGGTATAAACAGATTCATTTCCCAAGGTCTAAGGAGCAAACACTCCCCCCTAAACCACCTCATTCCCAAAGAGCACAACCCCTGACGTCCTCAGCAGTGAGCAAAGGAGGTTCCACCACCTCAGCCACCTTTTAGTGACACAGACAAGCTGTCCATGTGGTCACTGGGACGAACCACCTCGGCCTGTCCGTATAGACCCAACCCCTTCATTCCCTTTAACTTGTGCTGGGTTTTTCTCTGCGTTCCCCACAGAAAGATTGTAAGTAAGATAGATGAAGACAAGGACGGGTTTGTAACGGTGGAGGAGCTCAAAGCCTGGATTAAGTTTGCCCAAAAACGGTGGATCTACGAGGACGTAGAGCGGCAGTGGAAGGGGCACGACCTCAATGAGGACGGCCTTATTTCATGGGAGGAGTATAAAAATGCCACCTACGGCTACATCTTAGGTAGGTTCCTACTCATGGGATGCAACCTGCACGGAGCCGGCGCTTGAAACTTGCTGTTTTGTTTTTGTAGAGTGATTGTAGCTAAAATAGACACGGATAAGGATGGGTTTGTGACCGAGGGGGAGCTCAAAGCCTGGATTAAGAAGGCCCAGAAGAAATACGTGTATGACAGTGTGGAACGGCAGTGGCAGGAGTTTGACATGAACCAAGATGGATTTATCTCCTGGGATGAGTACAGGAACGTGACGTATGGCACGTACCTCGGTAAGGGACGAGGTGGCCCCGGCTGGTGGTGGGCTCGAATCAATAAAGCAGAGGTATGAGGAGCTCCAGGTCCCATCCCCCAAACTCCAAATTGACCTTCTGGTGGCATTAACCAAAGGAAAAGTAAAAATGGGGGAGAAATCACCCCCAGAGCATCATTGGGCATCGTTACATGGCTTTAACTCTGCTTTATTGATGTGCTTCACTATTGAATGGAGCTCGACGCTCAGTTGGGGGCAAGGCCCTTGTGGAGTGCTTCTTGGCATGGAATTATGTAGTCAGGGAATGGTTTGGGTTGGAAGGGACCTTAAAGCTCCTCCAGTCCCAACCCCTGCCACAAACAGGGACCCCTTCCACTGGAGCAGCTTGCTCCAAGCCCCTGTGTCCAACCTGGCCTTCAACACTGCCAGGGATGGGGCAGCTGGAGTTCAAACCATTCTGTGTCCCACCATCCTCATAGTGAAGAACTCCCTAAGATCCCATCTAAATTCCACCTTCTTGCTTCTGAATGTCAAGCTCCTGGTGGCATTTACCTCCTGCAGAGAGGCACCAGCTAACCCCTGGCTGTAGGAGCCTCTTTTGGGGTGTCTCCACCTAAATCGTTGGAAGATCTTTAGCAAAGAGTCTTCTCCTTGTGCACATCTCCCTCTTTCCCCTTATCGAGGGGATATCCCCCTATCTCTTCCCCTTATCCACAGAGCTTGTAGGTTTTGCCACCCCAGTCAGGTCAGGAGCTCCCATGAGGACTTAAACCACCCCAAGGAGTGAAGTAAGAAGAAGCTCTTCGAGGGTTAAGACATTAAGAAGCTCTCCCAGCTCCTCTGCCAGTTGTTCCTGCCTCTTGGAACGCTGACATATATGGTGTGATGAGCTCCAGCTTGAGAGCATGAGATAAGGTTTTCATTGACTAAATATTGCCAAAGATGGTCAAATGCTCTGCAGGACCTGTGGAGGCTCTTGCCTCATCCATCATCCTTGTTTCTGGGCTTCTTTGGAAGGAACTGGGGGGAAGGTTGAGGTTTGTCTGGAGAAACGAGCCCCTCAAAACCCCATCAGGTCTCATTGAGTTCTTCAGGGCTGGGACAGCTTCTATTATCCATTAGTTGGGTGTTATGAAGCTCAAGAGGAGGTCTGGCCTATCTCCTCCTCTAAATCCAGGCTTCAAGCAGGAGAAAAGGGCCTAGGATGTGTTCATTGTGCTTTTTGGGGTCCATGCGGTGGGATTTATGAGCTGGGGGTGTAGAATCCTTCATAAACCCCACCTTAATGGGTTAAACCCCCTTAGTGAGGAGAACCTCAATGAGGAAAGCAGTTCTTAAGCTTCAATAGCAAGAGAGGGGAGTGCCTCAGCCCTGCCATGGACAGCATGTCCTAAAGGTGCCCCCAGGGCCTGGTGTCTGCTGCCAAGTGCCCTTGGCACGTGCTCATCGAGCTGCTCCCACATACTTTATCCACATGGAACACGGGGGGCACCCCGATCCCCCCCATTCTCCTGCCTAACGCCGCGCTTCCACGCTCCTTGTATCAGCTGGAATCGCTTTTCCACCTCTCCTCTCTGCTGGAGCAGAGCACAGAGCTCTCCCCTCCCTGCTCCCCCTCTCCGCCCGGAGCAGCGTTGGAAATGCCTCTGGAAATACCTCGGGAGAGTTGAGAGGCGGCCAAGAGGCCTCTGATCCCGGCCTGGAGCGAGCACATCCCAATCCCGGCGCGTGGGAGCCGAGGCACCTCCCTCTCTGCTGCTCTGCTGAGGCTTGCAGGAATGCCGGCCTTGTGTCATCCCGGAGCAATGCTTTTGGGTGGGTTTGGGGATGGTTTTAGTCACCCGCTGTCGGGGTGAAGCAGCTCAGAGCAAGCTGGTGCCAGGTTTCAATCCGTTCCCGAGCATGCAGAGCCTTTCGGTGGGTAAAATGTGATGCTCAAATGAAAAGAGCCCCAAAGCTTCATCTGGGAGTGAAACTCCCTTTAAAACTTCCTGAAAATAGGAATTCTAATAATAACACATATTTTTTTTCCCTCTTTCAGGCCCCCCCAGACTCTCACTGGCTGCTAAACCCCAAATATCCCTATAAATTGTCCTATAAAAGTGGAGCTTGTGGAATTGCTCCAGAGTCATTCCCTGGCTCTCAATCCCTCCACCTGCCCTGGAAGACATTTCCCTTGTGCCACCAGGGTCAGAGCGACTAAACTTCCAAGTATTTGGGGGCAGCTTAAACCCCAAATCCAGTTAAACCAGCTTCCCAGTTAAAACTCAATCCAATCCTATGGTTTTCCTTTGTTTTGGGGGTGAAACCTCGGGAATACAATAGGAAACATGAGCTTTAATTGTGCTTTAGAGCAGCTGAATCCCCCCCCTTTTGTCCTGGATGCAAACAGGGAAGGGACTGAGCCTTATCTTAGTCCAGGCCTTGGCTCTTGCTTGACTTCACCTTCGGCTCCAGCCTCTTCCATCCCTCTTTTCCCTATAGGCTTCCCAAACAAAGCTGCTGCCGGTATCCCGCTGTCGCTGTGGCTATATCGGGTGTCCATATGTGCCCAGCTATTCCCGCTGTGGGTGATGGATCCCGGGCTTTGGAGCAATATCCCCTTACACATTCTGCTCCAGAAATAGCCCAGGCTGAGCCGCTGGGCCCGTGGCAGCCAAAATAACCCCCCCCAACCCCGGCTCCCTGGGTCCAGCGGGCACCTGGGAATGCTGCTCCGGCAGCTCCTGCTGGGGCTGGTGCAGGAGGGATGCGGTAGCTGCTGGTAGAGAACAGTGAGGCTGCTGTGGACAAGGGTTAGGAGGGTGGGGTTGGGTTGAGGGGGTTGAGGTGGGGGTGTTGGGGTTGGAACTGAGCGGAGGATGCTGGGGTTGGGTTCAGGAGGTTGAGTTGGAGATGGTGGGGTTGGGGTTCAGAGGGGGACGTTGAGGATGTTGGGGTTGGGTTGGAGATGTTGGGGTTGAGGTTGGGGTTCAGAGGGGGACATTGAGGATGTTGGGGTTGGGTTGAGGAGGTTGGGTTGGAGATGTTGGGGTTGAGGTTGGGGCTCAGTGGAGGACGTTGAGGAGGTTGAGTTGGAGATGGTGGGGTTGAGGTTGCGGCTCAGTGGAGGACATTGAGGATGTTGGGGTTGAGGTTGGATTGAGGATGTTGGAGTTAGGTTGACATGGTTGAGTTGGAGATGTTGGGGTTGAGGTTGGGGTTCAGAGGGGGATATTGAGGATGTTGGGTTTGGGTTGAGGAGGTTGAGTTGGAGATGTTGGGGTTGGGGTTCAGAGGAGGACATTGAGGATGTTGGAGTTGAGGTTGAATTGAGGATGTTGGAGTTAGGTTGACATGGTTGAGTTGGAGATGTTGGGGTTGAGGTTGGGGTTCAGAGGGGGATATTGAGGATGATGGGGTTGGGTTGAGAAGCTTGAGTTGGAGATGGTGGGGTTGAGGTTGGGGCTCAGTGGAGGACATTGAGGATGTTTGGGTTGGGTTGGAGATGGGGTCGAGTTGTGGAGGTTGAGGTTGGGGCTGGGCTGAGAAGGTTGACTTGAAGATGCTGAGGTTGGGGCTCAGTGGAGGACATTGAGGATGTTGGGGTTGAGGTTGAATTGAGGATATTGGAGTGAGGTAGAGATGGTTGAGTTGGAGATGTTGGGGTTGAGGTTGGGGTTGGGTTGAGACAGTTGAGGATGTTGAGGTTGGGGTTCAGTGGAGGACACTGAGACATTGGGATTGAGTTGAGGTTGACGGAGTTGAATTGAGGTTGCATTGAAGAGGTTGAGGTTGGGTTGAGGAGCATTGAGGATGTTGAAGTTGCATTGAGGAGCCTCAGGTCACGCTGCTGATACTGCGTTGTGCTTCTGATGCCCATGAGCCACCTCCCTGTGCCCAAGCTGACCCCTGGCTCCTTTCTTCCCCTCAGATGACCCGGACCCCGATGATGGCTTCAACTACAAGCAGATGATGGTGCGGGATGAGCGGCGCTTCAAGCTGGCCGACAAGGATGGGGACCTGACGGCCACCAAGGAGGAGTTCACGGCCTTCCTGCACCCCGAGGAGTACGACTACATGAAGGACATCGTCGTGCAGGTGGGTGGCCTTGTCCTGCTGGTGCTGAGCGAGCACATGGAGAAGGTTGGGTGGGCACCAGGAACTGGCCTGTGGTAAGATCCTGGGTACTGGGGGGTTTTGGACATCCTGAGGCTGGAGCAGTGTTGGGAAAGGAGGGGGATTCTATGGGACCCACCATCATCTCCTTGCAGGAAACCATGGAGGACATAGACAAGAACGGAGATGGTTTCATTGACCTGGAGGAGTACATAGGTGAGATAGCACTGTGTCCTTTCCTTCCTTCATCCAGCCCGAAACTTGCTGCTGGAATGTGCTGTCCCATCCCTTCCCCCCTTGGAATTTTATCTCTCTTGACCTCCTGACTTTAGACCTTGCTTTGACCTCATGGTGGGATTCCTGTGTTATATCCTGGTACGGGGGGCTCAGGGTGGGAAAAGCAGCTCCCAGATCCCAGAGGGATGGGTATATCTGCCCAAAACTTGGGATTTATCTGTGGTGGGGGGCTGCTAACTCCAAACTGCATCAGGAGAAACGCTGCTTTCCTTTCCATGTGGATTTGGAGAGGGATTTAGGGATATAAAGTGAATCCCTGGAGGTGGAAAGGGGCATCTTGTCAACGTGTCCATCAACGGAGGCATCTCAGCGGTGGTTCTTCCTCTGGGAAGAGGTGTTGGAATGGTGTCCAAGCAGATACCGTGTCCTATAGGTGACATGTACAGCCACGACGGTGACGCCGACGAACCCGAGTGGGTGAAAACGGAGCGGGAGCAGTTTGTGGAATTCCGGGATAAGAACCACGACGGCAAAATGGACAAGGAGGAAACCAAAGACTGGATCCTCCCTTCCGATTACGACCACGCCGAGGCGGAAGCGCGGCACCTGGTCTACGAATCCGACCAGAACAAGGTGGGAATGGCACCGTGGTGCGAGGAGGACACGTGGGTGTCCCACTAGGGTTGCGCTGAGCATCCATGGAGGGGTTGAGTTGGGTTTGGTAGACCAAAAGAAGGGAAAACCATGGGAAAATGGCATGAGATGGAGGGCTGAGGATGGGAATGTCCCTCTTCCCCTACAGGATGGCAAACTGACCAAGGAGGAGATCGTGGAGAAGTACGACCTGTTCGTGGGGAGCCAGGCCACGGACTTCGGGGAGGCCTTGGTGAGACACGACGAGTTCTGAGCCTGGAGCCATTCCCACGTAATTTATTGCTTCCAATTCCTGGGATCTGATGGTCGGAAACATTTGGGGGCTCCCGAGCCCGGTGGGGTCAGGCACTGAGGTGCAATGTCGCCAACGAAACCCTCCCTTCCCGTCCTCTTTCCATCTCCTCCTTCCTTCCCGGAGGGATGGGGAGATGCCGTTGGGAGACCCAACGCTTCTGAACGGCGCTTTTGGGGTTCAGTTGGGGGCTTTTGGGGGGTGGTGTGTTTTTAGATTGACTCATTCTCTGGTGGTTTGAGCCACGTCGCCTGGGTTTTATACTCGGAGGGTTCCGTGTGATGTGAAGGAACTTCTCCTCCTCCTCCTCCTTCCAAGAAGCCACCTCCTGGCTTCCCCTTCACCCACCCTCGCTCTTGGCCTTTCCTCCTTGGGGTGGACTCCAACAAACTCAACCAATCAAGACCCAAATAATTGACTTTACTAAGCCCCAAAATCCATTGAACCTGGTGGAAACCCTAAACCAGAGCTGGAGTAGAGCCGGGATTGGGATGGACCCAGCTTGGCCAACCCAACCGCTCTTGTCCTGCTGGAAGAGCTGGAGCCACCAAACCCCCTCTCCATTGGCCTCAGTTGGCCACCATCGTGTCCTCCAGTCATTAATGGGCCTGTTAATGAACCACCAATGTGGTGGTGGCTTCTTGTTGCCCATCCAAGTGTTTTCCCTCTTTTCCACCCCGGAATGTCGCTCCAAGTGCCTTTAATCCAGCCAAACACCCCCATTCCGAGGAGAAACGGCCCAGCCAGGGCAGGATGATGATGATGAATAGTGTTAATATTATCCATAATCCCCTTGTTTTTAAACCACGTGGATCCGGGAATGTCATGATTCCATCCTGGCATCAACATGGATCTGACTCTGGTTCAGAGGTTGGTGCCGGTCACTGGTTGAGGGGATGGATGGAAAATCCACCCGGATTCTGCCCTCAATCCCACTCCAGGGGTTAAACCACCAACCACAGGGATAGGTGCTCTTCCCAGTTGGATTTGGACAGAGCTCACTGGTGGATGCAGTGATCCCAGTCTGGGATTTGGCTCCAACTTCCTCTTCCCAAACGGATTTGAAACTGGGAGCAGCATTAACGACTCCAAACACTAATATCCTTCCCAAATTCCTATCCCCAAATCCCACCGTGTTTATTCCCTGGGTGTTTGTTGGGATGGGTTCAGTTGTGTCCAACTGTGGCTCAATAAATCCCGGTTCCATCCACCCCACGCTGCCTCCCGATGGAATTCCTTTGGCTTTATCCCAAAATCAGGCCCTGGAGGGGTGCCCCCCCCACGGCTCGCCTGGAGCGGGATGGGCTCCAATGGCATCGCTTCCCACCCTCACCATGAGTTGGGATATGGGGATCCCAAGACCATGGGGGAATGTGTGGGGCTGGGAGGGTCCTGCCCACTGTGGATGGGATCCAGCCCTGCTCCAGCCCCATAGATGAGCTCCCAGCACCACCCCAGCCCCATGGATGTGATTCAACCTCTCACCAGCCCTATGGATGGGATCCAGTCTTGCCCCAGCGCCATGGATGTGGGGCTAAGAACTGCCCCAGCCCCATGGATATGGGGCTCAGAACCGCCCCAGCCCCATGGATGAGGCCCCAGCTTCACCCCAACCCTATGGATGGGATCCATCCTTGCCCCAGTCTCATGCTGGGATCCAGCCCAGCCCCATGTGTGGGGGGCTCAGCAGCACCCCAGTCTCATAGATGAGCTCCAGAAGCATTCCAGCCCCATGGATGGGGGGTCCAGAAGCAGCTCAGCCGCATGGATTGGTAATGGACACCATCCCACATCCCTGCCTGTGTATCCTGGGCAGGCCAGCGGTGCACCAGTGACACCTCCATGGGGCACAGCACTGTTGGGCTGAGCCCCACACATGGTCCCCCCATTGTGAGTCCACAGAAGCTCCTCATTGAACTGGGACCAGGGTGGTGCTTTATTGTTCCACCAGCACCTACATCCTGGGGTGGCCCCAGCCCCATAGCAAGGGGGGACTCCTCAACTGGGGCTGACCTGGCTGGAGGACACGGAGGAGACCTCTGTCCTCTGGGCAGAGCTGGACACATCCGAGTCATCCGTCATGGGCTTCCCACAGACCGTCTCCATGATGCAGCCACGGAACTGGGGGGGGGAATGGAGGGGATCAGCCCCATGGTCCCCATCCCTGGCACCATCTTCCACCCCTTCGGTGGCACCTTGGTCCCATCTCCTGCCTCTGAGGATGTGGAGATGCCCAAGTGTCCCTCATGCCCATCCCAAGGTGTTCATGGTTCCCGCTCCATGGGCATCCTTGGGTCATCCTTGTCCCTATGGGCAACCAACCCAGGGTGTCCCCGGTGTCTGGGTGCTCCTTCATGTCCTCAATCCCTGTGTGTCCCTGGGTGATCCTGGTCCATGGGTGTCTTTGAGTACCCCAGTGTGTCCCCATTGCCCTGGTGTCCTGGGATGTCCCCATCATCCACGTGTCCTGGGGTGTCTCCGTTGCCCTGGTGTCTTTGGATATACTTGGGCACCCAGGGGTGTCCCCATCATCATTATGTCCCATGATGTTCTCTGGTCCCCAGATGTTCTTGAGCTATTGGATGTCTCCATCAAACCCATGGTGTCCCCATTACCCTGCTGTCCTGGAGTGTCCCTGGTCCCCAGATGTCCTCAAGCACCCCAATGTGTCCCCATTACCCTGGTGTCCCTGGATGTGCCCACTGTCTGTGTGTCCCTGGGTGTCCCCATCATCCTTATGTCCCCTGATGTCCTTGAACCCCTGGATGTCCCCACTGTCCATGTGTCCCATGATGTCCCCATCATCCACATGTCCCAGGTCCCCAGATGTCCTTGAGCACTTCGGGGTGTCCCCATTGTCATGGTTACCCCATCACCCAGGTTTCCTTGGGGACATCATGCTTGTGTCCCATAATGTTCCATTGCCCATTCATCCAGGAATGTCCCAAACCCCTGGATGTCCCCATTGTCCATGTGTCCCTGGATGTGCCCAGTGTCTGTGTCCTGTGGTGCCCCCATAGCCCAGCTTTCCTTAGATGTTCCCATCATCCTTATATCCCATGATGTCCCTGGTCCCCAGATATTCTCGAGCAGATGTCCCCATTGTCTGTGTACCCCATGATGTCCCCATTATCCAGGTGTCCCCATTGTCCGTGTACCCCATGATGTCCCCACTATCCAGGTGTCCCCATCACCTGTGTACCCCATGATGTCCCCATTATCCAAGTATCCCCATCACCTGTGTACCCCATGATGTCCCCATTATCCAAGTGTCCCCATCACCTGTGTACCCCATGATGTCCCCATTATCCAGGTGTCCCCATCACCTGTGTATCCCACGATGTCCCCATTATCCAAGTGTCCCCATCACCTGTGTACCCCATGATGTCCCCATTATCCAAGTGTCCCCATCACCTGTGTACCCCATGATGTCCCCATTATCCAAGTGTCCCCATCGTCTGTGTACCCCATGATGTCCCCATTATCCAAGTGTCCCCATCGTCTGTGTACCCCATGATGTCCCCATTATCCAGGTGTCCCCATTGTCTGTGTACCCCATGATGTCCCCATTATCCAGGTGTCCCCATCACCTGTGTACCCCATGATGTCCCCATTATCCAGGTGTCCCCATCACCTGTGTACCCCATGATGTCCCCATTATCCAGGTGTCCCCATCACCTGTGTACCCCATGATGTCCCCATTATCCAGGTGTCCCCATCACCTGTGTACCCCATGATGTCCCCATTATCCAGGTGTCCCCATCACCTGTGTACCCCATGATGTCCCCATTATCCAGGTGTCCCCATCACCTGTGTACCCCATGATGTCCCCATTATCCAGGTGTCCCCATCACCTGTGTACCCCATGATGTCCCCATTATCCAGGTGTCCCCATCACCTGTGTACCCCATGATGTCCCCATTATCCAAGTGTCCCCATCACCTGTGTACCCCATGATGTCCCCATTATCCAAGTGTCCCCATCACCTGTGTACCCCATGATGTCCCCATTATCCAAGTGTCCCCATCACCTGTGTACCCCATGATGTCCCCATTATCCAGGTGTCCCCATCACCTGTGTACCCCATGATGTCCCCATTATCCAAGTGTCCCCATCACCTGTGTACCCCACCCCACACCCATCACCTGTGTACCCATGATGTCCCCATTATCAGGTGTCCCCATCACCTGTGTACCCCATGATGTCCCCATTATCCAAGTGTCCCCATCACCTGTGTACCCCATGATGTCCCCATTATCCAGGTGTCCCCATCGTCTGTGTACCCCATGATGTCCCCATTATCCAGGTGTCCCCATCGTCTGTGTACCCCATGATGTCCCCATTATCCAGGTGTCCCCATCACCTGTGTACCCCATGATGTCCCCATTATCCAGGTGTCCCCATCACCTGTGTACCCCATGATGTCCCCATTATCCAAGTGTCCCCATCACCTGTGTACCCCATGATGTCCCCATTATCCAGGTGTCCCCATCGTCTGTGTACCCCATGATGTCCCCATTATCCAGGTGTCCCCATCACCTGTGTATCCCATGATGTCCCCATTATCCAGGTGTCCCCATCACCTGTGTACCCCATGATGTCCCCATTATCCAAGTGTCCCCATCACCTGTGTACCCCATGATGTCCCCATTATCCAGGTGTCCCCATCGTCTGTGTACCCCATGACGTCCCCATTATCCAGGTGTCCCCATCACCTGTGTATCCCATGATGTCCCCATTATCCAAGTGTCCCCATCACCTGTGTACCCCATGATGTCCCCACTATCCCGGTGTCCCCATCACCTGTGTACCCCATGATGTCCCCACTATCCAAGTGTCCCCATCACCTGTGTACCCCACGATGTCCCCATCATCTGCATGTCCTGCGGTGTCTCTGGGCACCAGATGTCCTTGGTGCCCTGGGGTGTCCCCATTGCCCTTGTGCCCCATGGTGCCCCCATTTTCCCCGTGTCTGGTGCTGTCCCCAGCACCCGCGTTTCCCTGCCTGTCCCTGGAGGTCCCTGCTGTGTCCCTTGGTGCCCATGTCCCCGGGTGTCACCTGTTTGTTCATGAAGCAGTAGATGATGGGGTTGTAGATGCAGGAGCTCTTGGAGAAGAAGGCGGGGATGGTGACGAGGCGCAGGTCGATGCCGTGCTCGCGGTTGTTCACCATGTACATGGCCAGGGCCGCGTAGGGCACGTAGCACACGCAGAAGGACCCCACCATCACCACCACCATGCGCGACACTTCCCGCTCCGCCTTCTGCGTCGTGGCCGACTCCTGCTGCTGTGCTGCCACCTGTACCAGGCACGGGGACCAACCCCATCCCGCATCCGTCCGTCCATCCCGTGCCCATCCCGCATCCATCCATCCATCCTGTACCCATCCTGCATCCATCCATCCTGTACCCATCCCGCATCCATCCATCCTGCATCCATCCATCCATCCTGTACCCATCCCGCATCCATCCATCCATCCTGTACCCATCCTGCATCCATCCATCCTGTACCCATCCCGCATCCATCCATCCCGTACCCATCCTGCATCCATCCATCCCACATCCATCCATCCATCCTGCATCCATCCATCCATCCCGTACCCATCCCGCATCCATCCGTCCATCCCATGCCCATCCTACATCCATCCATCCCACATCCATCCATCCTGTACCCATCCCACATCCATCCATCCTGTACCCATCCCACATCCATCCATCCCGTATCCATCCCGTACCCATCCCACATCCATCCATCCCACATCCATCCCGTACCCATCCCACATCCATCCATCCCGTACCCATCCTACATCCATCCATCCATCCCGTACCCATCCATCCATCCATCCCGTACCCATCCCACATCCATCCATCCCGTACCCATCCCACATCCATCCATCCCGTACCCATCCCACATCCATCCATCCCATACCCATCCCACATCCATCCATCCCATACCCATCCCACATCCATCCATCCAGTATCCGTCCATCCTATATTCAGACACTGACACCCATGGGGACCACCCCCATTCATCCCATGTCCATCCTGCATCCATCCTACCTCCATCGATCCCATATCCATCCATCCTGCATCTATCCCACCTCCATCCATCCACCTGCACCCTGGCACCAACACCTGTGTCTATCCTGCACCCATCCATGCCATATCTATCCCATATCCACCCATCCCGTATTCATCTCGTATCCATCCATCCCA